AATGAAATGCGTCGAGCTTCAATAGGATCAAATAAAGAACCATTGGCATCAACTATAAATGAAATGCGTCGAGCTTCAATAGCATCAAATCAAGAACCATTGGCATCAACTATGAATGAAATGCGTCGGGCTTCAACAGCATCAGATCAAGGAGCTTCGGGTAAGTCATTTATACTTTTTTTCTAAGTAAAGTAAAGTGTTTAAGTGATTTAATATTGAGATAAATATGAAATATAATTGCTCCTATCATTGTACAGTTTATTATTAATAGTGTTTCGATACTGTAAACATATCCTCATCTATTTTCTCAATTCCATTTAGATAATAAAATGATATGTCATTTGAAATCTATTGATTTTTAATACAAATGATATTAACATTTGAAACTAATGTATCCTAGGAAAAATCGTTGGTTCTTCCGTGCTGGATCCTTGACAAATTGCGTCGGGATTTTGTTAGGAATCATCCTTTTTTCCTGAAGATCCGACAGTATCCCGAAAGAAGCATGTAACCATGGAATTTCAGGAGATGTATCCGGTCTCCGTAAATTTGAACTGTTGACGAATTCAGAACTCAAACATCAATAAAAAATTGACAGACATCAGCCACAACTGAAAAGAATGCCAAGAAACTCAAGCAACTCCAGGAAATCAAGAAGTGCAAGGAATTCAAGAAACTCAAAGAACTCTAGGAAAGCTAAAAATTCTATGTTGAACTTTATAAAAAGTCATTACTTCCGAGAAATACCCTGGCCATAAGGAAAAATTCAAACTCATAAACTTTCCATCATTCAGTAGCGTAAATGGCTGGTAACAGTAACTTCTCCGTGCTACTCTCAACTTATTCTTTAAAGACAAGAACGCTTGCGCTGCGTCCTCCTCCTCAGCTTACTTTCAATACAATATAGTATTACTCTACATTTTCACTCTCAAATTATCCCTCCAGTCATCCTCACCTTCACGCACTTGCCTTTACCTTCAAAGTTCCACTAACAACCTCGCGAAGTCATGGAAGCAGGAATCACTGGAGCTTTTGTCTCGTGAACATTGGTAGCTGAAAACTTCTAGACTTTCTTGGCTTCATCGGGTTCCTTGAGTTCCCTGGGTATCTTGTGTTGCTAGGATTCCTAGGACTCTTTGAACTCCTAAACTTCCTTGAGTTTTCAAAATTCCTTAGATACATTGGTTTCCTAAATTTCCTTGGGTTCGTTGGATTCCTTGAGTTCTAGGCATACAGCGAACCCGAGCTTCAGTTCGGAGCTAGAACAGAACAGTTAAAGTTTGGAATTGGATATTTTCGAATACCGTTAACTTTTTTTTGGAAAGCCTGTAGCCTTTCAGTTCTTTGGGACATATACTTGGTTAATTGTAGACCAGTCGTAAAGCCTTTCTTTTGGTTTACTTCTACCCCATCTCATTAATCAACCGAAAATGGATTCATTCTTTATCGAATTCGAGCCGAACTCACCGAACCCAACGTTCGGATTCGGTGCATGCCTATTAGGTTTCCAGAATTTCTTGATTTTCTAAGGTTCGTTGAGTTCCTTAAACCCTAGAGTTCTTTCGTTACCTAGAATTTCTTGACTCTATAGGCTTTCTTGAATTCCTTGGAACCATTGGTTGCTTTGAATGGTGCGCAGTTAATGGGTTTCATTGATTGAATTTATATTCAGGTTTGAGTTTCGAATTTCTAAAGAGTTCAGAGTACATGGAAATAGGACTTAGCTGTTATTTCGATACTATTGATAAAAAGTAGTTTTAACTTTTTTTTATGGATAAATGAAATTGAAGAAAATTTCTATAGAAAGATGTGTCCCTTATTCAAAATGACTATTTGATAAATAATAAAACCTATAATAAGAACTTGTATACAGAAACCAATATTTTTCTGGACTAAGATGATCTTGAAGGCCATACGAAGATCAAAATATAATTTTCAAGTGACTGTCAGATGGAACAATAAACCTTTTACAACTGATGGTTTTTTTAATGTCACTTTTCTTCTTTAAAGTTTTGTTTCTTTCATAAATACAATGTGCACCCTTATTTATCTTACAGAATATTTTTAAACATAGTATTAAGATATCTGATGGAACTATTCTGTCAATTTTTAACCGATCTATTGACAAATTATGCCATCATAAAGAAAATGTTCCTTGAATGGGATATTCAGCTTCATAATAAAATCGAAATAAAGAAACCAGAGATTTTCAAATCTTGGATAGATTCTTGAACAAGAATCAGCTAAAACCGTAATGAATTTATTTTTGTCGGGATATTAAACTAGATCAGTTATAAAGCTTCACAAGATCATAATAATCAAATCATTTTTAATCATTTTTATTCAACGAAATCAATTAAAGTTTTATTTCAATATTTTTTTTTCTTTTTTTTTTATGGGACAAGTTTCTTCTTCTTACGTTAATATCAAAACCAAATGGCAACAACATGGAATTACCATTGCTGGAGGAAATCGTCAAGGCAAACAATTAAATCAACTCTCTTCTCCTTATGGTATCTATGTTGATGATGATGATCAATGTATTTATATTGCTGACTGTGATAATCATCGTATTGTTGAATGGAAATATAATGCAGAGACTGGTCAAGTTGTTGCAGGTGGAAATGGGTATGGAAATCGTATGGATCAATTGAATGGACCAACTGATGTGATTGTTGATCAACAGAATGATTCTCTTATCATTTGCGATTTAGGAAATAGACGAGTGGTACGATGGCCTCGTCGAAATGGTACAAAAGGACAAACAATCATTTCTGATATTGATTGTTATAATCTAACAATGGATAACAATGAAGATCTTTATATCTCTGACTTTGAGCGACATGAAGTGAAACGATGGAAAATAGGAGACACAAATGGAACAATTGTAGCAGGTGGAAATGGAAAAGGAAATCATCTCAATCAACTCAATCAACCTACTTCTCTCTTCGTTGATCAAGATCATTCAGTCTATATATCGGATTGTGGGAATCATCGTGTGATGAAATGGATGAAAGGTGCAAAGGAAGGGATTATTGTTGCTGGTGAACAAGGTGAAGGGAATAGTTTGGCACAATTGTCTTATCCTGAAGGAGTGATTGCCGATCAATGGGGTCATGTCTATGTGGCTGACTCTTATAATCATCGAATAATACGTTGGTTAAAAGCATCTAAAGAAGGTCGGATTATCGTTGGTGGCAATGGAAAAGGAGAAAAACCAAATCAGTTCAATCTTCTCAGAGGTTTATCAATCGATCGTCAAGGTAATCTCTATGTCGTCGATAATTCGAATCATCGAGTACAAAAATTTGAAACTGATTTAAATTGAATAAATATTTGTGATAAAAAAAAAAAAGAATAATTGATGAATAATAATGTTGTGAAATTTTTTGTTTTAAATATTTAAATAAATTGAAGAAAACGGAAATAATTTTGTTGATTAAAAATGATTTGGACTAGTTCCATTGATTATGAATTTAGAGACATCATCAGAAAGAGCATGTCGACTGATGTGAATTCGGAAGCAGTCATGAATGAAAGATTGAATAGTTTTAGAGAATATTTAATGCCTGTTATTTTTTGCAATGGAAAAAATTAATCATCTTTTTCATGCAAAGTTATTTTATATCTTCTGTTAAAATCAAAATACACTGCTCGTTAGAGGTCGTCAAACTATGTCTAACGCACAATAGTTCACTCTTATCATATTTGGCTGGACGAATTCTTGTGAGAGAAAAAAATAGAATCAGTCTCCAAACTTCCATAGACAGCTCGAGTAATTTTGTAATATTTTATACAGATATTTTCATCATAAGAACTGAATGAATGTGGTTTTTAGTTTCATCAAAGCATAAACCATATGAACTTCTAACACAAAATAACCTCAACCAATACGTTAATGAATAGCAGCTCGAAGCATTTTTTGTAACGGAACTAAGATGAAATTTCGAAGTTCGGGTAGCAAAATAAGCTTGTTTAGTGATTTTATCTATATTTCTATGTATTTTACATTAGCTGTTCTAATTAGGAACAGTGCTCCTATTTAGAACAGAAATGCTACTCATCAAACTATCAGTAATAACTCATCTATTTTTAAGAATGAATTCATGATTTTTACATCATTCGATGTAGCAGACGATGCCCATCTTAATTATGTAAAAGAGTCTTTAAAAGGTTTAGCTTAACCCTATTCACTAGAGCTGTTTTTCACAGCTGTCAAAAAGCTGTTCTAATTAGAAGCATCAACTATACACGAGTGTAAATTACATCAATCAGTGTCAAGATATGATGCATGTGACTCGACATGTGCATACAAGTATACAAACAAAAGTATTTTTTTTCATATGACCCTCGCTTCAGTTGATCATATAACAGCCACACAGTAAAAAACTTTTTCAATTTCTGCATAGTGTAGTCAGAATTTGATGTACATTTGAGGACTAATCATAATATTTTCTATTGGTGTATAGATGACTTGTTGTATCTGAGCTTGTTTTTATAATAAGATTCTCATGGGTCTTTTTTTTCCCATTCTTCCACATGGCATGGTATGGGTATTGCTAAAAGCGCATATAGTGCTTTTATTCTATTCTCTTTATTTTGCGTTACTCAAAACGAAGAAAAACATCATTGCTCGTTTTCTTTTTTTTCTCGCTCATCATCACTCTGTTTGGCTCTCTCTCTTATTTGCATCTAGTCGGAAGACTAAACAACAACACATCATGGAAATGAAAGATGAACTGGGTAGCGAAAAAGTAGCTATGATGGGTAATACTTATTCTCAAGCTACAAAATCATTGACACTAGCTGAAGATCCTGAAGTACAACGGTCTCGCAAAATTCTCTTGATTATACTCGGCATTTTTCTCGTAAGATTTTATTGGTTTCTTTTGATGAAAATAGCAATGGCTTCATTGTTTCATATGAAACCTGTTTTGATTTCTGTGACTTATATTAATCAGAAAAAAAAGATGCTTTTCTAAACTAACATTCAGATGAAATAATCAACTGTATTCATGATTTTAAAGGTGATTCTATGTGAAAATATGTGCGTTTCAGAAGAGAAAAACAAGTTGTTAGATAATTTTAAAAACCACTGTAATCATATACTTACAGTATTTATTTTTATTGATATGAAACTTAATCTGTTTAGGCACTCTGTTTGATTAGTACAACTCTTGGAATCATTGATACTGCGCGTAATTCTACAGGAAGATCATATATTATTGTATCTCTTATTTCATTTATTATCAACGGTCTCGGATTTTGGGCCACGTATAAATATAATACAACGGGTTTACGAGTGGTATGTAATGTCTTTGAATGTTTTCTAATAAATACTCTATACTAGAGTATTTGATAAAAAATGTAATATGACTTGATTTTACAGTTTTAAAGATGGATCTTATTTTAGTTTCGATGACTTAAAGCTAGGGGTGTCAGTTTCGGGTTCCGTTCCTAGGAACGGGAACCCGCAGCGGGTTCCGGATTCCTAGAAACGGGAACCCACTTGGTTATTCATTTCTGTGCATTTTTGAACATACTGGAGCGCTTATACATACTTTTTATTTCGTTTTGAGACGAGTCACTCCGGGTTCCTGGGAACGGGAACTCGTATCGGGTTCCGGGTTCCTAGGAACGGGAACCCGGTTAAAAATTCATTTCTGTGCATTTTTGAACACACTAGAGTTCATAGACATACTTTTTCTTTCGTTTTGAGACAAGTCTCTCTGGGTTCCCGGGTTTCCAGGAACGAGAACCTACACCGGGTTCCCAAAAACTGGGAACCCTATCTAAACTTCTATTTTAAACGATTTGCAATAGGGTTCCTCATTCTTAGGAACTCGGTGCGGGTTCCCGTTCCCTGGAACCCGGAACTCGATACAGGTTCTCGTTCTTGGGAACCCGGGGAGACTTCTCTCAAAACGGAAGAAAAAGTATGTCTATGAACTCTAGTGTGCTCAAAAATGCACAGAAATGAATTTTTAACCGGATTCCCGTTCCTAGGAACCCGGAACCCGTTACGGGTTCTCGTTCCCAGGAACCCGGGAACTCGGAGTGACTTGCTCAAAACGAAAGAAAAAGCATGTCTATGAACTTCAGCGCGTTCAAAAATGCATAGAAATGAATAATCAAGCGGGTTCCCGTTCCTTAGGAACGGAACTCCAAAGAACGGGAACCCTGACACCCCTACTTAAAGCCCTCTCTCTCAAAAGCCGATAACATTACAATTATCTGAAATTTATAGGATATGTTGAAGCTGAACTGAGGAGATCATAGTAAAATTTTCAGCTCTATACTATGACGTTTGACGGAGATATGAACTAAATAAGGGTAAAAGATAGCTCATTAAACAACTCATTTTTCTTTATCCATACTCAAAATTATCTTTTGTTTGAAAGAGCGTGTCGAGATAAACTGGTTATCAGATTTCTTTTTTATTAATTCCAAATTTTTAGGCAAAGAAAAGAAATCACACCTTGAATTACTCAAGATGAGTAATGAAGTTTTATAACAAGAATTACCCTGCCTCTTTCCGTATCATGTGCTTAAAAAGTTAGATTGGTCTTCGGTTCTGTTTGAAATAGTTCCATTGTATTTCTTATTTTAATCTCGCAAGGACTACGATGAAAGCTTTAGTGTCTGCTTGAAGATTGTCTATCAAGTAGGCTATCTTATTATTGAGTTCGGCAAAAATAAATCGATTATTCCATCGTTTTACACTCGTTTTTCATATTAAGAATATGCACAAATCTATTGAGTTCTTATGTCATCGAATGAGGCAAAAAAAATTTAGGAAAGCGATTTTTGACGGTTTTATCTATTTCAAGATCTTTGAATGTAATACTTGGTTTTTCTTTTATTTTCGATTTCTAGTTCGCTTGGTTGGGTGTGATCGGGCTTGTTTGCGGGGGTATTCTGGCTATAATTTTCTTCATTATTACTCTGGGTGATTTAGTTATTACAGGCTTTGCTATAGGTGTTGTAAGCACAATCGATACTAAATCATCATCTAACTCAACTCATACAAATTTCGCTGCTCTCAATTCGTCCGGCGCTACCGCCGCCAAAGGCATTGTGGCTGCGTTTTCAGTGACTCTGATCTTTTTTGTCATTATAGCCATTTGTAGTTTCTCTCTGACAGTAAGTATTTTATGTAATCTTTTTGTTTTTGATGTTCTATTTCAATTTGTTTACAGGTCGTTATCATTTATTTTGCTTTCAAATTGGCTGGACTTATTGATGCAAAGAAAATGTTGTCTCCTCAATCAATCTAACTTTTTATTTACTCAATATTTATATCTGAACATCTTCTATTCTATTAAATTTTATGTAGTTGCTCAAACAGAATCTCTTTCTTTGTCATACTTGATAAAATACATAAATTAATCAAAGTTTACTCGTTGATAATAATTTTTAATTATAACGTCGACGAAGGCATCTACTGAAATGTTTATGTGACTTAATTCAAATAGTTGATTGATTTATTTTCTCTCGACTGATGTTGTAGAAAAAAAATCATCAAGGACGTCTATCATGAAAAGCTGACTAGTCAACATTTGTCGAACAAATAGAGGCGGGATCCCGAATCTTGCGCACGGAATGTTGCGCACAACGAATCTTGCGCACAGAAGTTTGCGGACACGAATCTTGCGCACGTGAATATACGCACGAGTAATTTGCGCACTGATGGGTGTGAGTGTGGATGCGGGTGAGTGTGATGAGAAGATATCCACATCCACCCACACCACCAACACCGCAAGCAAAATTAACTTTATCACTTCCGTATGTAAAAGACATAGAAGCTTTAAACCGTAGATTAGAAAAAATCGGCATAAAATTGTATTTTAAATATCATTGAAATTAAACTCATTAGCAACATTTAGCATAAAACCTTAATCAAAATCAATTATATACTAGATCAACTGTAACTGCGATGCAATTTACAGTGGCGAAACCAAGGTAGGTCTAAAAAATAGTATGAAACGGCACGAGATAAATATAAAAGGAAATAGTAAAGACTCTCCATCAGAAATAGTAAAACATCACTTATCTAATAATGGACATTGTACATTCGATCCAAAAGAGGCATTCATTCTTGAAAACGAAACAAACTATTGGAAAAGAAGGAAGCTATCTACTCAATCATAAACAACTCAATCAACAAACATGATTCAATTGACAATAGCTGGAATAATATACTATACAAGGAACAAAAACGTGTCAAAATTTTAATCGAAAATAAGAAACAACAAAAGAAAAACAATCAGGTAAAGGAAGGACAAGACAGTAATATTGGTACGGATGATGAAGAAAAGAAAAACCAAG